AAAGAGTAGATCTTAAATGTTCTCACCACCGCCACAACAAAAATGGTAGTTACGTGAGGTGATGGATGTGTGAACTAACCTTATTGCGGTGATCATTCCACAATATATATGTGCATCAAATCAACATGTTGTACATCTTCCACTTACACAATGTTATATGTCAATTATATCTAAAAAAAAAAAAAAAAAGCTGGGAAAAAGAGGAGCAGTACATTTCTTTAATTGTTTAAGTAGTTGAGAAAAAACCCTAACTGGGACATTGCTGGTTCTGCTCTTTTTTTTTTTTCCCTTCAATTTTGCCTTAGAAAGGAATGTGCATATATTTGCAAAAATGTTGTTGTTGTTGTTGTTCAGGATGAGTTTACTGTAGAGAAATTACATTTTCTGCAAATGGAATTGACATTCTCTTCCACTCTCTTTTTAGTTCTCATCCTAGCTAAAAATGTAATTTCTCAAGTCAAAATATTTTACCTCGGTAGGGCAATCTAAAGTAAAATTGAAGGACTGGAACCTTCATTTTCTTGAGCCATTATATTGCGGGGACTTCCTGAACCTGAATCCTTTTTTTTTTTTTTTTTTTTTTTTGGTCTTCTGCAGAATGACAAAATAAACAATCCCACAGGAGATTCATAAAAGGAGGCATCTTACCAACAAGAACAGAACTACCCAGTTTACTCATACCATAGCCCCAGGTCTTGAAACCAAACTTCCTGCTACTCAAGAGAAAGGATTTTGAATATTTGTAATTCTATAAAACCAGTTGTTGGTTTTTTGTTTTGTTTTGTTGTAAATAAAGAGTAAGGCTATGTGTGTCAGGAGCATGATTGTGAGAGGAATTTTATTCAGAAGCAAGTGAAGATTCTCACAAATGCTCAAAGTCTACTTGCTCCAAAAGCCCTAATAGACACATTTTTCCCTTGCTGATTCTTCTCTACTTCACCTCCTTGAAATGCTAACACACAGCTTGTCAAATCTATAAAACTCAATGCAATGTGCATCACTCCCTCTCTTATTCCCCCATCTTACTATTTAGTATCATTGCCCTCTTTGGGCACACATCCACCAGGTGTTTTCCAGAAAGATTGCATTGGCTATTGGCTCTTCTCCTCACTCTTTTCTCTTTTCCTCTTGCTAAGTCTCTAGGGACTGATCAAATGCATTTAACCATCCCCGGTCTTTTAAAAAAATAAATGAAGTCTTTAGGTTTGTTTTAGTATTTCTTCTTACCTAGAAACTCCACTGGCAGGTGGAGGCCCTTGTATGGTATCCAGTGATAGACGCTGAATCCCATCCTTACTGGTATTTGCTCCTTGGAGGTGAAAAAAATAAATGTTTTATAAAGCTCAAATTGGCCTTATCAAACAAAACATCTGCTAGATCAGTGAATGAGTGGTGACAGCAGGAGACAGCAGTGCTGGCCTCTCCAATAGAAGTCACGGCAGTTAATGGAAGCTATTATGGGAAAATTCTGGCAAGAAGTTTTCTTTTTCTTCTTTTTTTTTTTCTCCTCGACAGCTAAAATTTTTTAAAAGAAAAAAATGTATTCAGTTGCTAGGGTAACTGTGGTTTCAAAACTACTGTAACAAAAGCCAGATATCACATATCAAACTACCAAATTGTTAATTTGACTGGTATTTTAAAATAACTACTTAAAAGAGATATTTTCTCCTTATCTAGGTATGGAGGGCAGAAAAAAAGGGGGAAATAGGAGGAAACTAAAGGAGGAGAAGAGAGGAAAAGGAAACTGGTAGATTCAAGGAATGTTTCTGCTTTGCTAAATATTTGTTGGAAATAAAATCCTTTCACCCTGTTACAGATATATTTGCATACAAGAATTATTCAGTTAGATTCAAAACATAAGGAGGATACTGAGTTATCCTGTTTTCAATTTCTTTTCCCACATTTCGAACCTGCCTGGGTTTTAAGTGAATGGTTTTCTGTGGGCACTTAGTAAAGGAACTGGTTACTTAGGAGAGTCATGCACGTTCTGAAATCTTTTATGGGTGATTGTGTTTTCTTGTGTCTTTCTTTCCATCACTTGATTTAAAGGGAATATAATAAAGCCATTAAGGGCTTGGACTCTGGAGTCAGACATAGCTAGGACTGAATTCCTTTTTACCTTTTACTAAATTCCTTTAACCTCTCTGATCCTGTTTCTTCATTTATAAAAAAGGATATCAGGACAAACATCATGGTTACTTCAATAAATAAATTGCAAGGAAAGAAATAGAGGGAGAAGGATCTATAGATTAGAAGAGACTTGAGAGACTAAATGTGTGGTTATTGCTTAGATCTGATTTGAAAGGAAAAAGAGCAATTGTAAAAACTCATTTATGAGACAACTGGGGAGACTTTGAACACTGATTAGATGTTTGATAATATTAAGGAATTATTTCAAATGTGTTTAGGTACGAATATAACATGGTATTATGGTTTTGGTTTCTTTTTAAGAGTCTTTTGATATTCTAAGGCATACTGGGATATTTACAAATAAATGATATGATGTCTGAGATTTGCATTAAAATAAGGGAGGAGGAAATGGATGGGGTAGAGAGTAAACAAGCTTGGCTAGGAGCTGACAATTGTTGATGCTGGCTGATGAACATAGAGGGGCTCATTATCATATTCCCTCTACTTTTAAATAAATATTTGAGATTTCCCATAATAAACGTTTAAAAAGAGAGATAGCAATAATACTCACCTGATAAGATTTATCACGTGGATTAAATGAAATGCTGTGTGTAAAGCACTTGGCAGAGTGCCTGGCCTATAAGTGCTCAATAAATGTAGCCATCTCTCGTAGAGACAAGGCCTCCGCTTTCCCATGTGCAGACCTGTGAAAGCTGGGCCCAAAAATGTGCTGCGGATGGGAACAGCTAACTTAACTCCTTCCCAAACAGGCAACTGTTAGCTGTTATTCCATTCATCTTTACCCAACCTGATTCTGTACGAGGCCCTATGCTTTCCACACACAAACAAAAATTCTGTCTTACAGTAGCTATTGGTTTTGACTTTAATTCCAAAGTAAGTTTTAGGTGGGACTGCTATTTCAGTGGAAAACTGGAGGCAAGAACCTTTTTTAAGCTCGACTATTAAGTTTTGAGCGTGTTGCCAGGATCGTCCTACATAGTTTTATGTAACTTTTATAACAATCGTTCCAAGTCTAAATTATTAGTTTCAGTTTACAGAGGAGGAAACTGAGAAGCTTCCTGGTCTGCCCAAGAACACAGCATCATGTGGTGGACCTTTACTCACACCGAGCTCCTCAAAGTCCCAAAGGGCCCTGCAGTCCTGACCATCAGCCCCCTTGCCTCTCTTTTCCTCGTTCTAGCTTAAAAACAACCACAGCCCAGAAAAAGTTAAGTTGATATTCCCAATCAAGAGTCTGAAGTCATAGTTATCTGTCCTCTGGAGTAACTGGCAACGCTGATTTGCAGCAGGGTGGTGAAAGATCTGAATAGCTGATGAGGAGACTCACAGGCTTGGGTGGAGGCTTGGGGCCTGCAGAGGGGAGGCTCAGGAAGAAGTAAGAGGAAGAAAAAGGATTTCAGGATTGCACTGACATTTGTGTTTAATTTTCCTCTTGTTCTAAATGCTCTTTAACTTTTAAAGGAAAGAGAAAGAAGAATGATACCTTATAAGAGAACTGTTCAATTCCAAAAATTAAAAACAGCCATCTGCCATCCAATACTGTCGGCCTTCACTCAAGCTCCAGCTGTAATTTAGTTCGGTGGTTGCGCCAACACCCTAAACTTGCAAATGATGAGTTGACGTTAGAATCCAGCTTATTTAAATAAAACGGGACCACTCCACGAAAGGCGGGTATCTGATTACAACCGGAGTTATTGGTTGTTTATATCCAACATTCTCGGGGAATGGAGAGGCAGAAAGAGGCACCAGGAGAAACAGAAAAGGCCAGCGACAAAATGCCCAAGGAGAAAGTGTTAGAGCCTCAGACGGCAGGGTTAACCTCCTGGGTCCCACTCCAGAGTGTCGGGAGAGCTCGGTTCTTTCAGCAGCCGCCGGGAAGGTTTCCAACTAACCCTCTCCCTGCGGTGGCCCTGAGGCCCTCACTGTAAGGCCAGTCCGGCAGCCAAGCTGCTGTAAGGAGCCGACACCACCCCTCTCCAGAGCCAACCTCCCCAGGCCTGGCCATCCCCTGCTGCGAATCCCAGATCCTCTCGATTGGGTTGGGCTAAAGTCCTCTTAATTAAGAAACAATAGCTATTTAAGAAGAAGCGCAAATAACCCGCTCTCTGCGCGCCCAGGCTTGGCATTGGAGTCCCGGCGGGGAAGGGAGCAGCTGGGGGAAAGCGAGACTGCTCTTGGAGGCCAGGGCGACCGGAGCACCCGGCGACCCGCCTCCCGGGCCCCGCCCTCAGCCTTCCCGCCCCGCGGGGACCTGACGGGTGGGGAACCAACCCCTTCACTGCGGCAGATTTCGAGTGGAGGGATCCAAAAGCCCGCAGGGAGAGGGCGCGGAGCGCGGGAGTTGGCCGTTCCGGAGGGAGAGCAGGTCCCCAGTCCAGCCGCAGGCCCCCTGCGCCGGGCGCGCGGCGTCACTGCCACAAAATCCTTTTCTTCCCCGGACGGAGCCGACCCTCGATCCCTTGGAGGGTGGAGATTCCTCACGTTCCCTCCCCCCGCTCCCCCGGGCTGGAGGGGAGCTGTGGGATTAGGCTGGAGTGAATATTCCGCGTGCTCTATAATTACGCACACACTGAAATCTTTCACCGTTGACTTAAGTTACTTGGCGCAGCGAGGGCTGGGGCCCTGCGTATTGATTAAACGCAGCCTCTATTTACCTAAACAATAAATGTAGAGATTAGCGACGTTCACTTGATCACAATAATGGGGTTGACAATTAGGGGGCAATGCATCCCAGATGTAGCCGAGCCTATGGGAGGCGGGAGGGCGGCAGGCTTCTGGAAGAGGGGCGCTCGGGGGCCTACGGAGGCGGAGGTGCGGAGCCCCGCGCAGAGCGGCAGTCGGCACGCGGAGCTCGGCAGGAGGCTGAGGGGAGGCCCAGCCGCGGCAAGGCCGCCGGCCACCAGGCCCCGGAGGCACGCAGCGGGCTTTGGGGGACCTGAATGTTCCCGCGCCCAGGTAGGCATCTGGAGCGCCAAGCCCGCCTCCCCGCGGCTGTGTCACCTGCCTCAAGGCCGTCTCGCCTGCAGCTGCCTGGCTGGGAAGGACGATGGACGCCGCGGGCGCGTGCCCCGAGTAAGTGTGTCTGTGTCATCAATGTGCATTCTGCATGCGGCAGCGGGAGGAAGGGCAGCGGGGAGGCGCACGTGCCTAATGTGTGCGGAGCCTCCCTCTTCCCTTCTGTGTCCTCCAAGAAGCGAGTCAGGCTGGAGGTGTCAGTCTGGTCTCGCCATGGGAGTGGGTGTGACATCCATCCGTGCGTGTGACAGGAGAGGCTAGCCGCTCAGGGTTGGACCGGAGAGCGGCAGGACTCCAGAAAGCATGGTCGTGTGGACCCAGGATAGGCCTGTTCCCGGGCATATCACAGTACAGGGGGTACCGGGGTCCTTGGTGGAAATCTTATAACCAACCTTCTTCCTCAGCCACTCACGGCGTTGGGGGGCCCTGAGAAATCCTAGGAAGCGGAGGATTGAAAAGAACTAACTCAGAGCAGAACTCAGGCGAGCAAGATATGGGGTCAAAAAGGGCGGATGAGAGCAGTTGGTAGTGGTGTGTGTGGGTGTGTGAAATCGTGATCCACCTAGAAGAGTTTCCCAGTCCTGGGTTCCCATCCCATACCGGCTGCAAAAGACTCTCCCAAAGCAAGTGGTTTCGCTCTCTTTTTCCCCCCCTCTTCCCTCTGGGCCCCATTATCAACCTATTATGCTTCCCATTCCACATTTAGGTACACACACAAGGATTTGTTCCAGACATCCACAAACAAGCCAGGACGAAGCCCTTTCCCGCCAAACCGCTAAGGCTGGGAAATAAACAGTGCCTGCCCAAACTCTGGGAGAGGGAACCTGGGAGAAGACTTGAGTGGTAAGAGGATCTAGAGGATTGGAAGGAGGGAGGGGAAAGGAAGAGAGAAGGTTGGGAAAGAGAAAAAAGAGGAAGGAGGAAGAGGAGGGAGCAGCAGGGGCAGAGTTGGGCGTGGGGTTCGGTTACAAACATCCCCCCCCCCCCGCCCGGGGCTCAGGGTCTTTCCGAGCGCTGTCTTCCTCACCGCAGAGCCGAAGCAGACTGGGGGAGGGGGCGCTAAGACAAAGGGAATTCTCCGGGAAGTGTCAAGTGCATCTGTCCTCTCCTTGCAGGCTCTGGAAAAACTGGCAGGAATTTCCTTGTCGTGAGAAGACCGACGAGCGTCTGCAGCAGAGACAACTACAAACAGACTTTGGGACGGGAAGGAGGGCGGGAGGAGGGGTGGCGGGGGCCAGCTTTGATAGCTTCAACTCTGTTGTAATTTTGTCTTCTCCACATTAGCCAAAATAGTCAGCCCTAGCTAGGAGTTCTGTTCCGCGGAGTCCCCTCCCACCCCACCCCTCCACCCCCGAGTCATGTGCACGCGGGGAGCTGGGTCGCCGCTCCTCCCCGAGTCGCGTCTGAAACTTCAAGGGCTAATGGTTCTGTGTTCCTGCCGTAATTAGGAGGCCACACAGCTCTCCAACACTGCGTTAAACAAGTATGTAAGTCATCCTCCCCCTCTCCGGGGACAGACCCGGGGAAGGAAGGCAGCTGGGACCGCTCCAGGCGGTGTCCTCCGTTAGGGGAGTGGCTTCTCTGTGACCCCCGGCTGCTCCTCCTGGCCTTGGTCTTTCTAATAAGCTCTTCCTTAGAAAGTAGAGAAAGGGGCAAAGAATGTGCATCTCGCCACCCACCGGACAAGCCAGGCGAGCCTGTGTCTGTGCTTGAAAAGTTTTCTAAATAAATCGCTCTGGTGGTTCCAAGCAGTGATGAACAGAGGCTGAACCCGGGTCTTTTCCAGAACAGTGCAACGGATGTAAAGAAGCTGCAGTCCCAGCCTTTCCCTTTTCTTCCCCCCTGTAAATCAGCCATATAAATCATTCGCATTGTTTAAGGTACATTGATCAATCTAATGGCTTGTAATAGGCTCCTAATTGCCACTTGCAGAGTTCTGTAGGTTCCTGTTTGAACAGGGAAGGTTTCGATTCCAGCCAAAGTCCACCTTCATCTTGAGACTGGATGATTACAGACCCAGGAGGAGCACCACAGTGGCCTGGCCACTGGAGTCTCAGTGCTTCAGGGGAGGGAGGAGTGGGGGCTTACTGGAGATATTTACTATTTTTTTTTCTTCTCTTTTCAAAGCCCACTTTTAAATTAGTAATTCTCTCTCTGTCTTTTTTCTTTAACAAATTACTAATTCTCTAATGAGCAAAGCCCAGGTAATGATGTATTGTTTATTGTTTATATCAGACAAGAAACTTTCCTTATTTGCATCCTTTATGTCTGTATGTACAGTAAAAACTTCCTTAGCAGCAAATGGGTATTCTCTTAGTCATCCCTTTTCTTTTGATTTACTTATTTCTAACATGGTAACACCAGGAGTCGTCATAGCAAATAATATGGGGGGAGGGGCATGCTAAAAGGAAGGAAGAAGAAGCCAAACTTTCTCCAATATGGAGTCCTGGAGATATGCCTAAATGCCTGCTTAACATCTTGTGGTGGTAATGTCTCCTCCAAGCTCTGGATGGAGGAGGCTGAGTTGGAAGTATCCTCAAAAGCTGCCTATGAAAGAGTAAAACTGAGGAAACTGGGACCCTGGCTGGGAGGAGCTGAATGTGACCAGAATCCTCTGGCCTTTGGCTTTTTTTTTTTTTTTTTGATGTTAACTCAAAAGATTAATGTTCCAGAGGTGGTTCTATTTAAGTTGGTTGAGACAACAAATTGTGACTTTCTTTGGTAGAAACACTGTAAAAAAAGAAGAAAGCCAACACTGAATGACACATTTGCTTAGGTCTAAGACCCCTCTGTGATAGTTGGTAATGGAGGGAGGAAGGTGAAACTCCAAGCCCAATAGGCCCCCCATAGTTTCCGAGTAATGCAGTAAACAAATCTATGATGCTTGTTGAATAATCTTCCAATAATTGCAGTCATTAAAATCATCACACAGTCTACAGTTCCCTTCCTTCCTTTGACACACCAGTCTTTCCTTTAATTGTTAATGCGTTTTTGGCTCAGATAAACAGATCAAGGCAGGCTTAAAATATAAGGCCCAGATACATCTAGCAGCAGAAAATTAGTTGTGGAGCAAATGTTTGGAGTGTACTTAATGACCAGGGGTTTTCACTTTCTCCAGTAGACCCTTACAGGCAAGAAGGATTTGCATCTCCTGCCACCTCTAAATAACAGTATCACATCTGAGGTAGAGAAAAGATCCTTCCAGGCTCTTTTATATATCCAAGGGTTGGGTTGGAATTAGGGCATTATAGAACAAGTATTAAATGGAAGCTTAGCAGAAATTGCGGGAGAGTTCCTCAATTTTCAATTAATTTTCTCCATTCATCTGATCTCAAGGCTGGTGCTTTTTAAAATATAAATATGTGTTAACTATAAAAGATTCCCTTCTAATCAAAAGCTGCATTTCATTTGCACCCACAACTGGCAAGCTCCAACTGTGGAAAGGATTTACTGCACTCAACAGGCGCTTCCCTCTGTCCCTGCTTCCTTTGCCCTTGTTCGTGGCAGGCGATTATGGTACACAGGGGCAGCTTTTTTTTTTTTTTTTTAACCCAAGTTATTAATGTATCTCCCCAATCCCCACACCGTGCTGACCTGATAATCACTGCTGTAGTGTAGATCATGCAAATGAAAAGCATAATTAAGTGAGCAAATGATTCAAAAAGGGAGCGCTGTGGCTTACCAAATAAGTAAATAAAGGCAGGTGGGAGGAGGACAGGTCAGATAAATGCTTTTTAAGGGCTCCTCTCGCTTCCCTCTCCCCTGTGCCCGCCCCCGGGCTTCCCGGTCCTGGTGGTCGAGGCTTTGACAGCAACCAGCAGGGCCCAAGCGAGAACCTTCGGTTCCTCCTCCCCCCAACGCCTCCCCTCCCGCCCACATCCTCAAGTCTCCCCAAGTCTACCTCACCCCACCCTGGAGCTGTATATCCGCTGCTAACTCTGGGAGTGGCCGAAGCCCCGGGGAGACTGGGCAGCCACCTAATATTTCGAATTATTCAGAAGATAGATGGTCCTCCCCGTCCCCACCCTGCTTCCTGTGCATCGGGGAGAAGCATTTTTTTTCCTGTGGTGTAGGAGCTCCAATCCTTCGGATCAGCGCTAATGACGGAATTGTTCCCCGGCTTTGCCTTCTAAACGCCGCAACTTGAGCAGTTGCTCAGATCAAAGCTCTCGGGAGAGGCAAGATGGGAGAAACAATATTTGCTCAAAGGAAGTGAACTCTTCCCTTTAATTACCCTATTCTTCTTTATTAGGATTCCTATTGAATTTTTTTTTTTTTTGCAAAAAAAAATTATGTTCATTTAACCATAGTGTATTTGCGATGTAAATATATTCCAAGATGAAAACGTCACGGATCAATTGTAAAGGACCCGGATACATAATTTTAAAAAATCAGTTTCAGTGTATATGAGGTTCTCACCCCACTTTCGCTGCTCAGTCAGATTTGTTTATGCAGAATCGACATTTAATAGTGCTAATTGCACTCCAGTTAAATTGCCCTGATTGCAGAAAGGGAAGCAATTTTCGTGCTCTCTGTCTGGGTTTGGAAGAAATTGTTTTATATTCACCTCTTTATAAAGAAGTGGAGATAAGGCACCGGGGCCTTTGCACAAATTGCACTTAGGGGCTGACTGGCAGCATTCAGGCGCTATAATAGAGCATTATTTGGCCGTTTTGAATAATGTAAAGCGTTTGCTGAAAGCTATTCTCCCGAAAATTGCTTTAACTTTTAAAAGGGTGATGATTCACTCCAAACCAGGCCTTTGTTACATTGTCATTATTTCCCCAAATGTTTTAACAGTCAGCTCAACACTTTAGCATAACACATTGATCTTTGTTTAAAAACTAGATTTTTTCGAGGATGAAAAAATCTGTCACACGAAAAAAAAAAAACTGGACTTCTTTGGGAAGATTTCCCTGGGACCCCACCTTAGAGTTGAAGTGGCCTGGGTGTCGGCCTGCGTTCGTTTGGAAGATTTCCCTAACTTTTATTGTGATCCGGACGCGTGTATCTAAAGGAATATCCGAGTGCCCACGTAGAGAGTCTGACAGCTGGAACCACATTGAAAATGGCAGGAGGGGGAGGGGAGCAGACGAGGAGAAGGAGAAGAGGAAGGTAACCAGGGCTCCCGGAGCCCGAGGTGCCAGCATGAGCTGTTTTAAATGGTTGACTTGAAAATGTCACTAGAGCTAAGTGGCTTTCCGGATTGTCTTTATTTATTACGTTGTCAGGTTTCCTTAAGGAGGGGGTGGGTTGGAGGTGGGGGAGGAGGTGGTAAGGGGAAACCTCCGCGCCTCTCCTACCCGGGCTGCAGTGGGTGAGTCGGAAACGCAACGCTGCCACTTAACAATCCCTCTATTAGTAAATCGACGCGGAGACTCTACGGGAAGCCGAGCACTAGTCTCCCCTTCCAGGGCAGAAGTCACCTGTTGGGAACAGCTCCCGGGTCCCCCTGCCGGGCTTTCTGGCTCTTCCAGGCTGCCTGGATTTCCCCTTAACCTTCC